TTTAAAAGAAAAACGTTTAAGTACGCTTTGACCGTGGTAGACGTGGGTTCGCGGTATAAAGAGGCAGAACCGTTGACCAGTAAAACCGCCGAGCAAGTGAGCGAAGCGACCAAGAAAATTTACGAGCGATCACCTCTAACCTGGCCCAAATTCGTAATGGTAGACTCGGGGTCTGAATTCAAAGGCGACTTTAAAAAGTTAATTACAAAAAATAAAGTACAAATTCAAGTGGGTGAACCTGGGGTACACAGATCTCAAGGAATTGTGGAAAGGGTTAACCGTATTTTAGCTGAAAGGTTATTTGGCCACCAATACGCTCAAGAAATGTTAAACGTAGGTGTGCGTAACGTGGAATGGGTGGAGCGTTTGCCTCAGGTCGTGAAATCGTTAAACCAGGAAAAAACGCGGTTAATAGATGCCGTTCCTGCAGAAGCGATAAAATTAGCGAGCGGAGTGAAACAAACACCTAGTGTGCCTCCAAAAACGAGCGAGCGAGAACTTCCTCCAAGTGTATTAGTTCGGTACCTCTATTACCCGGGCGAGCAAGAGGGCGGCACCGTCAGAAGGGCGACGGATCCAATCTGGTCCGTGGACGTTTATCAAATTGGAAGGCGAACTAGTCAATTTAAACGGATGAATGGCAAGCGGATAAAAACGGGCCCAACTTTATATTATCTGTTAAACGGACCAAATAGGAGTTTCGTCAAAGAGGAACTTCAGATAGTACCCGAGGATACCGAATTACCGGAGTGATACTCGCTCCGCTCGTCACTTCGTTGTTGATTACCTTGTGCCCGTAAGCCAACGTATCGATTCCATTCGGTAATATGTAGCGCTTTGTGTCCAACGGTGACAGACTAAGTTTATTTTGTGAAATGGTGAACATCCGATGTTTATCCGATCTAAATAATTGTTGTTTATTGAAATAATGCGTTTGGTCAAATAGACAGCTTTTATACATCTCGTGGGTCAACCTTTTCTCGGTTACTACCTTGGAGACCCCTTTGGCCTTCTTTAAATTGTGATCGACCGTCAGAATTGAATACATTTTCGGTCTGATACAAACGGCTTCTAAAATTGTTTTGCCACCAAATTCGTCTTTCATTTTACCTATAACTTTTTTATTTTTGACGCTGTAAAGTGGATGATTGGGTGGGTAATTACTAAAGTCAAATAAATTACGCTTTTCGTTTAGGTAGCCAGTTAAATCGTCGGAGCTTCGCTCGATCTGAACTAATAGAGAATCAGTGTCCGTGTAAAGTAAATTTACTTTTTCACCAAAAGTTGATTTTAGTTCGTTGTAGTAGAAATCGTACATTAACGTTTTTGAAATATCGAGAACACTTACACCGCAATATATTGGCTTATTTAATTTTGTTTTGGTTCGGTTCATCTCCACAAACGAAAGCTCGCAATGCTCAAATGGTANTAGGTACATGATCTGTGACTCTGGCTTATTTGGGTCGTAATCAGGTAGTTCTGGATTATTGGCCTTTGCATATCGTTTGGCTCCTACAGAAGAAATCCAACCTCTTTTTGCCCTTTCAAAGAACAAGTGCTTGTCAATGTCTGTCAGTAGTTCCAATTGGATGTCAGAGTATTTTAAGAGGGCATCCCACTACAGGCCTGGCGCCGTATAATAGTTGGCTGGGTCAAGGCCGTAGTTCTTCTTGCATACCTTCCGAAAGTTTTCAAATACACCCGCGAGCAATAGCACGTCCGTTTCCACGTATAGGTCGTGGTAGTCGCCTAGGTTTTGGAAATTAAATTTTTCCCATACTGTCTCCGCACGAGCGTATTCTTGCTCGGTTATCCCTCCCTGCTTCAGAGAGCTATAGAAAGCGTCTACTGGCGGGAGTTGTCTCTCTTGGAACCGATCAAAGGAGTCTATATACTCATAGGGGTAAATCCCCTTTTCCAAGAGTAAATGACTATTATTTGTAAACCTTTTACAAAGTAAGTTAAAATCATCGGGCGAACAATTTTTAACCAACCGATCTAGCAATGCCGCCATAAAATGAAAGGAGTCTAAAAATCTGAGTT